GCAATTTTAACAGTTGCTATGGAAAAAAATAAATTATTATAGTAGTTAGCTGAGAGTCCATTTTAATTTTATATTATTACTCAAAATCTTTATATTGTATTTCATGGTTGTTACTTAAAAAAGGCAGTATTCCCGTTAATAATGGAGTTATGCCTTTATTTATGTTGTCTTTATCTATCAAAGAAACTAAGCGCTGCCTGTTTTGCACTAAGATCAGTTTCTAAGGAACTTAACTTCTCAACCTCTAGAATAGCCTATTATGCCCTTTTTCAGTCACATCTTCGTTATGCCCTTCCATTCTGGGGTACTTGCTGCGCAACAAAATTTGATCGTGTTTTCAGACTTCAAAAGAGAGCACTTAGATATTTATTGGGACTGAACAGTAGAACTCACTGCCAGAATTTCTTTAAAAATTTGAAAATGCTGACTCTTCCTTCTTTATTCATTTTTGAATCCGTTTGCTTAATCCGCAAGCACATATCTGCTATTCCCGAAAGGCCATCTCATAACTATCCACTTAGGAATGCAGAGCACGATCTTTATCTGCCAACCCCGAGCTCAGAACTAGTTAAAGGTTCAATACTGTACAATGCCAAAAAAATGTACAATCATCTGCCTTTGAATATCAAGTCGAGTCAATACTTCATTCTTTCCCGCCATTTCGCAAAGCTCTAAAATCATACCTTTGATCATACCTACTGGAGAGAGCCCTATATGCGGTAAACGACTTTTTTGTTGATGTTTAATTATGAACAATTTTGAATTTTAAAATTTGATCAAGTATTTAATATTTCATAACTCTAAAATTATATCTATTTACTGCGTACTGTTCCAAAATTGTCCATGTGTTCTTTTTGTAATTTTAAAGACTTAAATTTTTTTGAATTGTATTATTTGTATTGTGTATTTTTTGTTGTTTGTATTTTTTTTGGTGATTTTGTTGTTTGTGAGTGCTTTGTCGATGAAGCTGTTTTGGCTTTTTGTACAATAAAGCGTTGTTTATTTGTTGTTTGTTGTTATGATAGTAAGAGATAAAATATTATTTTAACAATATACATTTTATATCGAAAGATTTCATCAGTCATTAAAGCCAGATAAAGCAAAATTTATTGACTAAAGAGTCGGTAAACTTTGAATAAACACAAATTCATGATTAAAGCATCAGGGAAGGCCCTGAAAAACAAAGAAATGACGCACGGCCTTCTTACTAAACTGGGAGTCCGATTATTCATAACTGCAAGCCGTATCAAGTTAGTAATACGTCCTCATTAGTAATACAGATCAATTAATTAGTTTTGTCAAAGATGGGACGTGACATATCTATATACCTACTATTGAATATTTTTTAAACTAGTCACTAAAAACGGCCTATATCTACAGGGTGTTACAAAAATGTTTCCAAATAACAGAAATAAAAATTGATTAATCCAAAAAAAGTTTATATTAGTTATGTATCCGTGTGAAACATGGATATGTGGTATCCCCCATATAATTTTTGCATGTATAAAATGACTATTTGCAGTTTACGTTTATTGATTTTTCCAACTCGAATATATAAATTCAACTATGGGAAAATCAATATGCCTTGTTTGTTTAAAAAACTATTAAATACTGATAAGGGTTCAATGAATAATCGTAACTGCAAACCATCTTTTAGTCAAATAATTTTAAGTTTTGCAGTAAAGTGGCTCACGCCTATAACTTTTATTTTTTCAGATAAGAAAACGAGATTTGGTATGTTAATATATGATATAAATTAGGATTGATTGACATATTCAATTGTTTTTGGTCACTTCCTGCTTCACCGGAAATGATTACAACTTGATTTTTAAATGGCACCTTTGGTATATTTTTACTTTATTTTGATAGAAAATGACACTCTAAATAGAATGACATCATATATCAACTCTAGACATTTTAGCTTAACAAAGTCGTATTTTAAATTTCAATCTAGAGTGCCGTGGCTGTGTAAAAACACTAATTTTTAATAAAGGAGCCTGGGAAAAATAGATTTGATCGTCTAGTGTTTTTCTGGTCGGTTAAAAGATGCATATTTTTAATCATATCTCCATTTTTTCAAATGGAAAGAGGGTGGCTCATTAGCATATTTGGAAAAAGCATTTTTAGCCGCCCATACCAATAGGTATCTAGGTTTTTTTAATTTCACTCAAAATTAGTTATTTGGGCCATAAATGACTTAAATACAAAATATTTTCATGGTGTCTGTCTGCCTGCCTGTCTGTCTGTCCGTCTGTAACACGATAACTCCGTCTGTAACACGATTACAATCAAATTTGGCGCAAAAATACTGTGGCACCCGAGAATCTGGCCATTAGTTTTTGGTGGGGGTGGGGGTTGGTAAGGGGTATGGGAGGGTTAAAATTTTAAAAAATCGTAATTCCAAAATTACAGTAGCTAGCGAAACGCGGTTTGGTTTATATCAAATTATCAATCAATATTATATATTAATCTATAATTTACGATTAGGAATAATATTTGCAACAAAATTTGTAATAACATCAAAATCAGTCAAAGTCGCAGTTTTTGAGATAAAAAAATTGGAAAAATTCCTTTACTTTGAAACTAAAAGAACTGCCTACCAACTTTTTATTAACATATTTTAGTATGGGCGGCTATACGTGCCTCCCGGCGCCATTTTTTTACGAATAATTTGGTATCACTCACTTGGTATTTAGTGTCAAATTGTCGTTATATGAACCGCATGTTACAATTTCAAATAAGCCATATGCGAAAATGTCAAAAGTGGATGTTATTTAAAAATCAAAAGTTGTAGTCATTTCCGGTGAAACAGGAAGTGACCGTAAAAAATTGAATACGTCAATCAATCCTAATTTTTGTCATATTATACTAGCAAAACAAATCTCGTTTTTTTATCTGAAAAAATAAAAAAATATAGGGGTTGTGCCACTTTTGAGACGCACCCGGTATAAACGGAGGAAGAATTAATAATAATATCTTCTGATTCCAGGAACTACAAAAGTAATATTGCTTACAACGTTTAAAACACTAAATTTTAGTAAACGGTGTTTTTAGTTTTTTAATAAAATAAGATCCTTTTTATTTTATAGTCTTAGACTATCTATCTACCCAACAGGATGTTATATTGAATAAAATTGTTATTATTACAATAATAATATTGTATGGTATTCATGGTAAATGAGTAAAGTTATTAAATCTACATAATACATTAAAATGAAAATCATACTTTTAGTTATAAGTTATCTATTTTTTAAAAAAATATATGTTATAAATTTGTCAATTCAATAAATTTCATTAAGTCAATAATAGGAATATTTCCTTGAAAGTAGAATTTGTGTTATAAATAATATTATCTTAGTTATATATCTTGTTGAACTTATATTTTTCCGGCTCATTGAAATTTTTATTTATATTTATGTACGATAATCAAATTATTCTTATTGTCCAAAAACCAAATGTGTTAATAAATCATGCAGTCGCTTTGATTATTTTATTTATATTATGCATTATTTATACAGTAAATATGTAAAAATACGATACAGTGTTCTATAATGAAATGATTCACTCGCTTAACAATTCCACGTTCTAATGACTCTCAGATCTAAAAACGAGAAAAAAAATGATAAAACTAATCTAAAACTGTATAATTGTTTATGATTGCAGCTGCACAATATCCGGAAAAATTGCGTATCTATTTTGCAATTTATTGCGTATCATTATAGGATTTATATTTTTGACGCCAAATTTACCTAAAAATAAATTTGATTTTTGTTACTTTTATTCTTGAAAATAATAATCTTTTAAAGAATGTATGAATATGTACCGGGTGGCCAACTAAGAATGGACGCCGACTGTATCTCAGAAACTACTTATCGTATAACTTTGGGAAAAAAAACCTAACCTAACCTAACCTAACCTAACCTAACAAACTAGGGCTCGTTTAAAAGAGCTTTTCTTCCTGCCTGCTATTTAAATTTTTTATGCAAAAGCGCAATATCTGTTACGATGTCAAACAGCGCCGTCTAGCTACCACGAAAAAAAATCTCGAAACAAAATTTATACTGGAAATCATTAAGGAAGAAAAGCTCTTTTAAACGAGCCCTGGTTTGTTTAAATCGGCTAACCTAAACCAGAGTTATCCTTATTTTAATAAAAGCAAGTTTAACCTCCTCCCCCCCCCCCACAATTTATTTTATGAGATAGAGCAAAATACTCTATATCAAAAAAATTACAAATTTCTCGATGATTACTATAGTAATATTTAAAATACCTGTTCACCTGCATATTTTTGAGAAAAACCTGTTTTCTGGTTGGCTATCAGAGAAACGCCCCCTAGCGGACATTTTTCGAATTTGAAAATAATTTCCAGCGATTTCTCTTGGTCGATTTACTTATTAGAATTTTTTTCCCAAAGTTATGCGATAAGTAGTTTCTGAGATACAGCCGGCGTCCATCCTTAGTTGGCCACCCGGTACTTTCAGAACATGGCACGAAATATGCCAGGAATAACTAAAAAAAGCTTTTTTCGTTTTCCTGTTATTACCGATTCTGAACCGTCCTAGAATTGTGATGCGTATGCGCAGAAGGAAATATGAAGACATTATTTCATTTGCGCATGCGCTGGAGAGTTCTAGGACGATTCAGAATCGATAATAACAGGAAAACGAACAGACCTAAAGACTGTCAAAAATAGAGTAGATGCGACAAATGACCCAGGTAATAGCCGTCATCCACAGAATCAAATCCCTCTAGTGGCAATGGGCAGAACACGTGGCAAGAAGGACGAACAACAGATGGACCACCAAAATTACAGTATGGTACCCAGGAGGAATTAAGAGACCTAGAAGAAGACCGAACCGGAGATGGGATCATGATATTAGGAAATTAGCAGGTATAAGTTGGGCTCGCATAGCCAATATGGTGGGCACACTTACAAAGAGATTATCTAAATATGTGAGGGAGGCTACACCATAATTGGAAATGTTTTGAATAAACTAAAAATGATGATGATGATGATGTGTATTGAAGCTGTGGCAACGTGGTATTCAGAAGGCGTAGGAGCTGGAATAGAAAGACTGAAGCAAGAGATATCTTTACCAGTAAGTCCATCCAAGAATGTCACAATTTTCCAGTCGGAAATAACAGAAATCAATAATTATTGTGTTTTAGAAATAATAAGGCAGGAAAGAACACATCGTTGCTATCTTCACGGATACCCAATCAACGTTGATTCCACGGTGGTCAATTCTATTAGCACATAAATGCTATTCATAAGTCCAGAAGCCTTCTACGGTACTGCAGAAGCAATTATACAAAAATGTTTACAAAACAGTGGGGGGCCAAAAAATTGAATGGTGAAAACATTTAGTAGGACTGATGCAGCTGGAAGACTTCATAGTAGAACACTTGCAGCCCCGATAAGCAAAGACAATGAAGCTATTAAAACTGTAGTGGGTCTACTAACAGCTGATGTGATTGACGGACAAAATTATCTACAGATTTTGTCAGTCAGAATATGAAACGATGCAAGCAAATGTCTCGTTCTTTGTATCTACTGGGCAATGATAAGCCAGTGGCAAAAAGCTGTATACTGGGGCTTCTAGTCTTGGGTGCCGATTTTCGTGTGTACGAAGAGTAAGGTCAACACGCTTAACAAAATAAGATGTACTGAATAAAGACAGAAAACAAGTATTTTCCCAACCGCGTGGAATCTAGCGTCAGAGTAAGTGGTTAGGTAATAAATACTTCATATTTTTGGACGTTGCTTATTCTTCGACTTACTGGATTGCCGTAGCGATTCGTTCTTATACATGTAAACGCCGCGGCGGTAAATTCAGGCGCGCCGTCCCAAGGTTTTGCTTGCCAGCAGGGTATATGTTTCAGTATCCAAGTTACTAGATTTTTTGTATAGTAGGTATACAAGTGGAGAAAATAACTTAGAGATACGGTGAAGACCACAATAGATCTATAAAAGTCGCAAGCAGAATAGCCCAGCAGCCAGCTCAAAAGCTCAAAAATATCTTATCTAATTTAACCGGGTTCATTATAATTTACTCTCGTTTGAATATCACCACAAGAACAAATAATAATATGTATATCTTTTTTTTTTCTGATATATAAACTAATAGTAATTACTAAATTTTCTTGTTCTGTTGTTTTTAGATATGTTTAATCACACTGGTGGGGTTTCACAGATTGATATGAAATTTTCTCTTCAAAAATCAATAAGCTCCATTCCATAGGAACTTTCTGAAATACACTGTATAATAACTTTTGTATTAGTTTGTAGTTTGTATTTTCCTCTCTGTATTTTGAAATGAAATAACCTTTATTTTATTAACACGAAGCAATTTGAATAAAGTTCATGTTTGACGAGACAGACCTGTTCCTTCCTCGCTAAAAGACGAGATCTACTATAGTCCGTTGCGTATCCATTGTTTCGAATATTTATTTGATGGTCTATAGGCTCACCAGAGATATTTATGCCGTCTTTAAAACAATAGGCTAATATGACGATACTTTATTTCACCGGTTATGAATCTCTAACTGAAATGAACCATACAGTTAAGATACACCAAAAGATTTATTTAATTAATTCTTATATAAAAATCCTTTCTCTCCTGTAGTTTGCTTCCACTATAATGGAGAGCGCTGCCATGAATATATTGAATAGGAGAGGTGCTAAGACACATCCCTGCCTAACGCCTGTGTTTGTTAGGAAGTGATCCAGTGATCCATGATATGACACTCTTGATTTGTTGTTGTTATGGAGGCTTTTACAGACTGTAAGAAATTTGATGGGTACTCCGAACTTTTTCATAATTGCCCAAAGTGTATCTCTGTTCACAGAGTCGAAGGCTTTTGTTCGATGAATGCAACTTAAAGTTTAGACTGCTGCTCTTTTACTTTTTCCTGTAGTTGCCGGATGGAGAATATGGAATCGACGGTACCGCGGTTGGTACGAAAACCCGTTTGCGATTCTGGGAGGATTTTTTCTATATGTGGGTGCAGGCGGTTTGGCATAATTTTGGCAAGAATTTTTCCTCCGATAGCCAGTAGTGAAATTCCCCGGTAGTTTCCGCAGTCTGATACACTTCATTTGTTCTTAAATATATATATATATATATATATATATATATATATATATATATATATATATATATATATATATATATATATATATATATATATATATATATATATATATATATATATATATATATATATATATATATAGTTAGTAGCAGTTATTATATATATATATATATATATATATATATATATATATATATATATATTCGCGTTGCAAAAGTCCTGAGGTACCTCTCCGCTTTCTCACATGCCATCGAAGAGAGCCTCCAATATGACTTTAGTAAAGTTCTTTACTTTACACACTTGTAGATTTCCGCCGGAATCGTGTCATAAAGCCAACTGATTTGTTGTTTTGAAGCTGTTTATGGAGGCCATTATTTCCTGTTCTGTTATTGGGATATCTAATTCATCGAGGCTCTGTTATAATGAGGTATTTTGTTAGTGCTTCTATATTGGGGTTGTTTTCTTTGTTAAAGATACGACTGTAATGCTCTTTCCAGCGGTTTCTGATTTGCTCTTTCTCTTTTAGAAGTTCGCCATTTTATGCCATGATTGGGCAGCTTAGCTTCTTGGTTGGACCATCTACTTCTTTTACAGGATTTTCTTCCCGGAAAGCGTCGCGGTATCTGAATGGTATGGAAATATAAACAAAATAAATAAAAAATGAAGCTTAGGTAATTACCTATAAAAATGGTCCTTAACATTTTTTACGTAGAATTAGTTTTGGAGATACTCCGTCTCCAACAATTCTCTCCTCCAAGTCTTAACGCTCCGGAGATATTATTACATATGACAAATATAAATAATTGTATAATAACTTGGGTAAAATTTAATATTTTTTGATGATTCAAAGTTCATTTAAAAGGTAGAATCAACAGCTATCACATTTTTAACTTTGTTTGAATTTTGTCATATTTTATGATGATAAAAAAAATCGGGCAAAGATTCCTTGACCCAAAAAATTTTCAAATTTTTACCGACTAATTCATATTTTCACTAATAATAGCTTCAGTCAGTTTTGTGACATCGTCTATTTTTTCCCTTACACTTCATTTATTTTAATGCTCTCTTAAATGTCTGATTACCTCTATTTTTTACATATTTAGTTAGTCACAAATAGTTGTATTGGTAGAAAAATTATCAGTGTTCAATACTCGCAATGTGGGGCAAATGAGACTTCGTTATAATATTGTGATTTTTCGAGGACACAGATAAGTAAAGAGGGCAATAAAGATTTTATGGTGTCTCGTGCTACGTCGGCAGGAAATAAGATGCTTCTTCTGTAAGGGCCTGTTTGTAATTTCGGATGCGGAGCAGTACGAATTTCGTACGTCGTTAGGAGAGATTTTGAGCGCCTGGAAATCTCTGTAGTGTTACGGGGGAGTTTGTACTAAAATTGGATTTCTTTCGAGAGCTTTCCGGAAATGTAGGAAACAAGATAACGACATCGATTTTGAATGTAAATGATTTGTTTTGAATTAACACCTACTAGTAAGGTGGGTGGACCACGGAAAGCTACTGTAACGAATAAACCATTTTTACCACTTTATTTACTGGATAAAAGAAAGAAACAAATAATGAATTAATACTTTGTTTTATTGTGTAACATATGCACTACTTTTTTAATTCAAGATGTAATCACTATTTATTAAACTTAACTTATATTAGGCTCTTCCAAACGGCCTTGGAAGGAACAGGGATACAAGGCCAATATTATAAATCAGTCATTCAACTTAGAACTAGAGCTGTAATAATCAAAATATCCGGTTTTACAAAAATTATATAAAAGGCTCTTTCATTTAAACCAAAAATTAAATGCTTAACATATTATAATCTTCTTTAAAAAACTCAACGAACATTCCTTGAACGCAATCGTATAACTAAGAATATATTAATGAAAATTATTTAAAAATTATAGTAATGAGTATTATATCAATAACAAATATGTTGCCATTTCGTTTTAGAATGAAATTACAAAAAACAAAAATTAATGGCTTTCTTATGGGTTTGTTCTTTGTGAGGCCAAAATGTTTTTTTAGCTAAAAAGTTGAGAATAACCCTAATAAATAATAATATTATAAACATAAAAAATTGTTTCAATTTTGCCGGTACGTATTTATAATTAAAAACTATGTGTTCATATTTTCATGATTTGTAAATGTTCCTAGTAAGTCCTATGTTCTTTAGCAAGGCCAACCGTCAAATTTTTGATTGGCCTTATAAGGGTTTCATAGCCATAACAAATTCTTATATGACAATAAATTAATAATAGGTTTTTTTACATAAAAAATTGCCTTCTCCTGTGCGCGCGAATTACAATTTTAACATCGACGACCGAAGTCTACTACATTAAAATGAATAAATGAGTACAGTATGAACTGTGCTAAAATTCCTATTACTTTAAAAAAAAATCAAATCAAGTCAAAATTGATATGACGTGAGAAGATGCGATATTGCCATTGTTTGAAAAATATCTGAAGGTCGAAAGTCATAAGTAAACTTTGTGTTTTCGGAAACATTTATGAATTGTATTCTACAAATAGATTAGTAAATATAATAAAGTACCACAACAACGAAATAGTTGCACCTATCTCTATTTGATTCCATTTATCAAGTAGACTTAAAATTTGGGTTCAAATATCCTACTTATCAAAAACACACAAAAACAAAAAAAAAAAAAAAAAATAAATAAGTAAACTTTACAATTGAAGCAGAGGAACTTAGAGTTCTGAAATAATTGTTAATTACCGTTATCACAAGTGTTATTCATTGATTAGTAATACTTGATATCGGTCAGTGATACATCTGAACAAAAACGTACTCTAAAATATCCAAATTTAAGACAATGTTGGTTCGAAGAAGTTGATTTCCATTTTTTTTTTCGACTGTATTATCTTTTGATTAAAAATTAGTGTTTTTAACACAGCCATGGCACTCTGGATTGAAATCTAAAATTCAATTTTGTTTTAAGCACAAATGTCAAAAGTTGACACATAATATGTCATTCTATTTAGAATGTCATTTTCTATCAAATAAAGTAAAAAAAATACCGAGGGTGCCATTTAAAAATCAAAAGTTGTAGTCATTTCCGGTGAAACAGGAAGTGACAGAAAACAATTGAATACGTCAATCAATACTAATTTATGTCATATACTAACATACCAAATATCATTTTTTTATCTGAAAAAAAAGAACTTTTGAGACGCATCTGATATAAAAACATCAACAACTTAAAATTAAATTTCGTGGTACTTTGTACAGGTTGTCCCATTTTTGTATGTTTAGTGTTTCTCAGAGATTAAAGATACGGTTTTCACATCTGCTACTACTTTTGTGAAACTAAAGATAATAAACACATCGCTGTTAAAAATTTATGATAAAAATATATGAAAAAAGACTTAAGACTTAAATTCATAAAAGACTTAAATCTTTTGTAAAAATGATTTTTCCAAAAACAATTAAATTTTAAAAAAATCATATGATTTAAGTCATTTTAAATGATTTAAGTCAAAAAAGACTTAAGTTTTCTGTGAGCTTTCAGCTCTGCTGGGTGTATACTAGGGTATCTCTATGTTTACTTATTTCTGTGACATCGGGCAGGTCCGTATCGGCCCCATTCCCCATTTAATTTCACGATTCCCCCTGTCCATAACCTTGGCGCGGGCAAGTGTACTGCACCCGCGAGCGCATCAATTTACTGACATATAGACATAGTTCGTTTCCCTTGAGCTAATACGATTTCGTCGCCTGTCGCTTCTATTCGTCACCGCGTTTATGTTTCCTCCACGAGGAGAACACATTTTACACACATCCACGTATAGTCGAAAGTACACACATGGTAGTGCTCCCAGCGTCCGCCCTTGCGGTTGCCGCGAGGTTGCCGGATGTTGAGAATTTTCCTGGTGTAGCAGGAATGTCAAGCTGAATAGTATAGGCACATTGCTTAGAATAAAACATGTAACTTGACCTGCGTTAAATTATTTTGAAGTATTTTACTGAAGTAGCTGTAAAATAACGACATCACACGATAGGTAAATAATGAATTTTAGTACTGCAGAAAAATAATGCCAAAAGGTACTGGTTTAAAAAAAATATAGTATAGTGTATCCAACGACAAGATCCTTGACAGTAATAGATGTGTCTGTCATTTTAATTTCAAAGTAGTTTATTTTAGTTTACAAAGAAATAAGTTGTACAATTTGAACGCATAGCAGGAAATTAATATATTTAAAATTTTGAGGATAAGTGATTGCTTCAAAATATTGTGAAAAAAAACTGCAGGCAAAACTGAAAAAATCTAATCGAGTTATTTTATTTAAAAAACGGTACGTGTTAATACAACAAACAAGAACATCAAAAGAAAAAATATAAAAGACTTACTTTCAAGTTTCAAGAAACATCCCTCATTTTATCAATAAAACTTATGTACAAATATAAGTTTGTAATATTCCACAGGAACAAATAAACAACATAAATAAACAAACTATTTTATTAATAATAACACTTGATCCAACCCCAAGCTGTTATTTCTTAATGTTTGATAACTAGAATGCACACTTTAAAATTATTATTTAATTTTCGACACCAAAGCGTTAAGTTATTTTTATATTAAAACACCTAACTGATTTTCGAGGCTTTTACAACAATGCATAATTACATGGATATGCATGCGTTTCATTTGCAATTTTCACACGCTTTAACCACTTTAACTCCTTCGTTTAATTGCTTGATTCGGCCTTAGTTATGCACGATACCGACGCCTAGCGTTAATTGTGCAATTATAGAAGACTTACTTTTTGTTACTGGTGAGGAATTTTTATACAAATTTTATTTTTAAACAGAGTTTTTTATATTTTTAAGAAAACACAAATTTGTAAAACGATCCACAAATATTTTATTAACAACCCCCCCTCTCATATTGTTTGACATTTTTTTCAAGTTTTTTTTGCTTCAGGGGAATGAATGATGCAAACTGGCGTAAGGAGTCTTACTGGATGGGACAATAGGTATTGTTCCATACATTTTTTATTATGAACTGTGTAAATATTTTGTTTATAATTTTCTTAGTGAGTTGGCCAGTTATAAAAAGTGTTATTTAACTATTTTTTCCACAGCAACTGTTAAAATTGCCTTGCTATCTATCAAAAATAGTAGATAAAATAGAACTTTAACCGCAAAGGTAGATTAAATGATACTTTAACAGCGAGGATAGGTTAAAAACTATTTCTTCTAGCACGTTTTTTAATTGCTTCCTGTTTTTGAAGATTTTGTATTTCTTTTCATAAGTTATTCGGGATTTGAACGGAAGTAGTTTGGATATGGCGTTTGTCGCCTCAGCCTGAATATCTGTTGGTAATTTACTTATTTCGTTTTGAGCCATTTCTGGCTCCAATTCAATCAGCAATCGACACGAAAGAGAATTAAAACAAATATTGACTCAAAACTGACAACTAAAGAGACAGCTTTATTTATTTGTCAAATTGCATACAGTTGGGTCAACGGATCTTTGCGTGCACGTCACAAAACTATGATTAACATCAAATCAATTCCCTTTTATACGCTCTCTTTCTAACTTAAGCAAGACAATTCGAAGAAATACTGAACGTATGTCTTCATAGTTATCCGACATACGGTCGGAGCTAAAGTTATGTGTAAGACAAGGAAAACCCCTAGCCAAGGATCACTCAAGTTTCTTTTCTAAACATTTAAAGTCAATGCCGGCGAACGCAAAAATAAATCGATTATTTATTTTCGGGTTCTCGTTTTAAAAGAAATGTACTAAATTTAGTATATTTTTTAATAAAGGTACACTGGTGTTCACTTCATACTAACTTCATTTTGTATTATAATTTCTCTTTTGTTTTATTTTTATAAGGGATCCAAGAACTACATCCCATTAAAAAAAGACAGCTTTTCCTTTATAATTTCCTAAAAAGTAACTTTGTACTACAATTTAGTACATTTTGTGGAGACGTGCGTACATCTGTAAAACCCTGGCAGCATCCATGCATGACATTTTTGTCATTCGGTGTTTATAAGCTTAAGATTCGTCATTTTGTCAAAAAAAAAGTTAGGGAAAGTTGTTTTGTACTTTTTATTTTCTTGGACATCGTTTGGTGACTAGCTTTTGTGAAACTTTTGTGATTTAACAAAAAAAAAAAAAAAAAATTTATTTTTTCAGATCTGTTAATATAATTTAACATTAACATTGAAATGCCAGGAAAACGTTTAAATTCTCAAGCACGTATCCTTTTTGGAAATCTTATCTCTTATTTTACGTCTGAAAAAGAGAATAAGGGACCACTAATTTCCCTGAATGCTGTCCAAGAGGTAAATATATATTTTGATTTATAAAATGCTGTAAGTGCCTAACTAATAAATTTACAGAGAGTCGCTGATGCCTTGAAGATCAGTCTAAGAACGGTTTCAAGCATTAAAATGTCTAAAGATCGAAATGAGCTACCCTCAACACCGGGAAAGAACAGACCTCGAAAAAAATGTAAAACTCAAGACTTGAATGAAGGTTTGAAGATGGAGGTTCGCAATATTCTGTATGACTTGTATGCACAAAGTAAGTACCAATATTATTTTACTGAACTATTTTACTAAATTTATATTTTCAGAGAAACAAGTTACAATTAATAAACTAAACGAGGAGTTGCGTCGCAGAGAAATTGTTGACATAAGTTATGGAAGTCTTCGAACACTCCTTTTTAGTTTGGGATTTAAATACAAAAAGGATGATAACAGACGAGCATTAATGGAGACATCCAATATAGCTTCTATGAGAGCAGCCTTTTTCAGAAAATACATGGGAAAACAAAATTCTGCAATTTCCTCGTCAACTCGTATTTTTAGATGAAACGTGGATCTTTTCCAAAGGCAGTAAAATGAGATCATGGCAGGATGATAGTGTTAAGAGTGTTCGTAAGCCAGGTGGTTTTGATGGCAAACGTTTCATTGTATTGCATGCCGGACACTGTGGAGGGTTTGTTAAAAATGCTGGTTTAATTTTTGCTTCAAAAATCTAAGAAAAATGGATTATCATGGGGAAATGAATGCAGAAATGTTTACAAAGTGGGTAGAAAACCAGCTCATCCCAAATTTAGAAGAACCTTCCCTTATTGTAATGGATAATGCTCCATACCATTCTGTTGAGTTAGAGAGACAGCCATCATCCTCATGGAAGAAATATGAAATTGTTGAGTGGTTGGAGAAAAGTAATATACCTTATGATAAAAAAAATGTTTAAACCTGAACTATTAAGCATAGCAAAAATTCACAAAAAAACAAACAATATAAAATAGATAAATTATTACAAGAAAATGGTCATGAAGTATTAAGATTACCACCTTACCATTGCCAGTTTAATGCAATTGAAATGATATGGGCAGATTCAAAATATTTACAATGGCCTGGTGAAATGGACAAAGATGAAAAATGTGCTAGATATGTGGAGAAAAGCATTAGAGAAATGTACACCAGAAATATGGCATGCTAAGGTGGTTCACACTGAAAAATTAATCGAAGACTGGTATGATAGGGAAGTCATTATTGAAGAAGTACCCCAAATGTTTATCAATGTCAGTGATGAGGAAAGTTCAGAAGATAGTGAGAGTGGGGAGAACTAAAGTGGACTACGTAATATTTTTCAAATTTTTTAATTTAAATATACTATCCATGCTATTTTAAACAAATAATTGTACTGATCCAAGTTACTTGTAAAATTAATAAATTATTTTTCATTTTCATTAAATTTATTATCTGTTGGAGGTATTATTTAACAAAATATTTAGACTTTTTGTTTTAACCTACTTTCTATAATAGTAATTTGGGTAAAATCTTGTAAAGTTAGATATCTAATACTGTATAGAACTTGATTTCAATATATTAGTTAACAACTCAATATTTCGATCACCAATTATTGTCCTCTTGTAACAACTATCCTATTGAATTATACTGTATAGGCATACTATTGTTCTGTATTTTCCCCTTTTTATGACCTTTTTCCATAAACAATTATTTATTCTAATTTAAAAAAAAAAAAAAAAAAAAAAAAAAAAAAAAAAAAGAAATTATATTATTTCTTTTAAGTATGAAATAAAAAAATGCCGCTGGCACTGGTGGTAGTTTGACGACTGATTGATTCGTATGACGTTAGGTGACATCAGATTATGACGTGCACGCAAAGATCCATTGATCCAACTGTAGAAACCAACGAATAATCCGTAGAACATAGAAATCCCGGGTTTAAAATTATCAATGAAATACCTAATATCATAAAAAATTAATATAAATATAACAAAACACGAAAATTAACAAAACCTGTTTAAAAAAAAAAAATTATATGATCATTCAAACAAATTTAGCAAACAAATTATAGCTACAAAGTTTAAAAAAATAGCGCAAAAAATATTAATGCGTCTAAAGTTTCATCCCCCCGTCTTGAATCTTATTACATAAGATCCCTGCCGAAGAAAAACATCTTTCAGATTCCACGCTAGTGGCCTGAATGGTTGATAAAAATTCAAAAGCTTTTTGGAGATTACGTCCCCAACTACCACCATTTGAAAATAATTCAATTCCTTGGGTAATAATGTCGGACAATCGCGTCTTATTACTTCTTTTGGTTTTTATCGGCTTTGAAGATTGTTGCAATGCTTTCTGCAGTTTAGTCTTCTCTCCTTGAGTCTTCTCTTCTCAGAAGTTCGGCAATGGGAAGCTCATCCTCTTCGCTGTCGTTGCTGGTCTCTTCTAGAAGTATCTGATGAATTGTCGAGCTCTAGTCTGATTAAAAGCTTTTTTATCTCTTGATTTAATTAGGGGAAATATTAAGTTATTTAGTTCCGAAATTAAGCAATTTACTCTATGGCATGAAAAATCGGTATTTATATAATGCAATCCTGGGATTTTTTGAGGCAAATTTTCTTCCGGGATTCCGAAATCCCGGGATTGGCATCCCTAGCATATAGGTTACCATTGGAATATTTTTCTAAATAAAACATGTGCGCCACTGATTTTTTCCTCTTATTAGCAAAATTGTGTAGGCCATTTAATGCCGATTAAAAATTGTATCTTGATATTTTGTCCATTTCGATGCCCTAAACGCAATTTTATTAATTACAGTTAATAAAATTGAAATAAAAATAAAATTAATAAATTATTTAATTAATGTAATTTATTACTAAATTTTATAAAAATGTATAACACGGATCTACAGTGCTACTCTCTCTAGTAAATTACGTTTAAGTAAAAAAAAGAATAATGGTATTTAAGACAATTAATTACAAAAGGCCTATTTTTTTTAAAGTTTTAACATCCTCTAATTTTAAAACTATGCATTTTCGCACCCATGTTTATAGGAAATTTTTTTCAATTTTTTTGAAGAAGAATCAATAATACTTATTTAACATTCTGGAAAGTTAATGACATTACATTTTTTAAAGGTTGTTAGAATTATTGGATTAAGGCAAATTAATTAAATTGCGTTTATCTCATCAAGGAGACCGAAATCGACAAAATATCAAGAGACAACTTTGAATCAGCATTTAACGTTCTACTGACTTTTGCTAACAGGAGAAAAAAATCAGTGGCTCATATATTATTTTTAAAAAAATATTCCATTGACCACCCATATGCACGTCCCTGGTGAATATGTCGACACTTTTTTATCATTAAAATATATCGCACTTATAGTAACTTTTACCCTCAAAATTTCATTCCAATCGCTGAAAGATCTTGGAAGAAAATTACAATAAATCGAAAAAAGATGAATACTTTAACACCCTGTAGATAATGGAACTAAGCAGAATCGGACCTTACGTTAATATGAAATAAATCTTATTTTTACGAGAGGAATCTCTCCCTAAGAGAGATGGCACATGGTTTTGTGAACACCCCTGTATAACAATAAATTCACACGCAAAATTTTTCGAGCAAGTTCGGATTTCAAAGCTCATTTGTCGGGAATTTCCAAAAACTTGTTCGGAAACCTTGTTTTAAACAAACTTGAAAACAAGTGTTTAAAAACAATAATAACTCTTGTTTTAAACCATGTAAAAACATATTTGACAAAGTTCTAAAATATCAAAAAAACATTTTTCGACCCTGTTATAAATTGCTTAACAAACATAAAATTTCTCTAATGATAGAAACTGTCGACTGTCTGCTTCGATCGCCACAGTAACCAACTGACCACGTGACGTTATCAGCACCTTCCCTTTCTTCGCCCAAGCGATTAAAAGCGGCACGAGCCGGCAACGTTGGATCCGCTTCGAACGATCGGCCGGAGGAATTCTTTTCCTATCCGGCCAAACAGTTGAACTGTGATTAGCGTTCGGAGGCACCTCAAAAAAAGGCCACCTTGCTCTGCCATAAAAACGCTTTCGTTGGCTTCACGTTGTCTCGAGTTTCGGGCTCTTTTCTTGTGCGTTGAATCGGTTTATTGTGTTCGATTTAAAACGTAATTTGGTTGTGTTATTTTTAACTTTTGAAGTGTTTGTTCATATAGAAAAGCAAGGATTATTATTTTTCATTAGCTGCATTGGTAACTTTGTGGTTGGGACAGGTCAGTAACTCTAATCTATTTAAATGTGCTGTATTTAAATCTGCATAATGTGTGGGATATCTGTTGACTTAATAATCGGTCTTGGATATAATAGTTATTATTGTTAATTTGTGTTAATAGTTTAAAAGCACTGACGTTGGTAATAACAAAAAGAAAACAATTAGTTTTCGAGTGAGTTGCACATTATGTTAAAATCGTTATGAATGCGTTCTTTCATCTGATTGTAAGACATCAAAAACCTTTATTATTTTTCAGGACACTGCTTTAGATGTTATGATAAATATTATTTCTAAAGTTTTCTTCGAGATTTATATTCTATACTACAGTCTGTATACTATGTATACACTTTTTCAACACTCATGACTTACATAGAAATATAAACGTTTCAATTTTTTAATCAGATATTTATTTTTTTAAGAAGCCACCTACTGATTTTTGGACTATACAGGGTGAGTCTTAAGTAAGTGTATATATTTCCGGGGCTGCTGGATCTCGATAAAAGAAACATATATTTTCTTTACCGTTTTTTTTTAAATAACCGAGTTATTTTACTTTAAAATTTGAAAAATATGATTGCTTAAATTTTGAGAACTCGATTTTTTCTGGGTTTTCTTTCTAATCTACAACCTATGCCGCCATATAATCAAGATATGTTTATTAACTTATAAATTTAAAAATATATATATTTTTTTGAAAATAAAATTTGCAATATACTCTATACATTTTCATCCTCATATACGTGTTTCTGGGCCGAAATATAGCACTACTAAAAATATTTGCACTTATTTAGGGTTCACCCTTTACAAAGCTTTTATTTATTTAAAATTTTGGAAATCTTTGAACTTTTAAACATTGCCAGTTAAAGGGGTCCCATGGATTATTAAAATTTTTATAAATTTTAAAGTAAGGTATAGAAAAGTTTCAAGTTAAGATAGTTTTTTTAGAGGTTTTAGCGCTTTTTATGACAATTGATTTTATTTTCTTTTTTTTGTGGCTTTTGGACCAAGAAACACATCTGTGGTGAATCAGTTTCTATAAATCATGTTAGTTCACAGAATATTTTTGAATTAGTTATCTTTTTTCATTGTAAGTTGTAAGTAAAAACTCTCTAATCCATTCTAGTTAATCAGTTCCAATTATTTTTTGATCTTGGTAATTTTGGGATACTGGGAATATTAGAATCTTATAAAATTCCCGAATTCTTTAAAATTGTCTTAATAGGCAATATCAATTTAATATATCAAATAAAAAAAGTGGAAACAAAGTATAATGTAATACCCATTTTTAAAAAGGGA